ATTAATCCATTTATTCTATGCCACTCATGATTCTACAATCCCTAATCATGTCCTAACTCTCTCAGCCCCCTTTTCTAAGCTAATTGGTTCCAAATATTCTGGCCTTTTTTCATAAAGAGTTTGAGCGAGCCAATTGCTTTGTCTTTTTATGGACATTTTCCAGTTCCATTACATTCTCCTCCAATATGACAGATGAAAAACATAATACAACAAAAGATATCACAATCATTCTCTTAACTTTATGGAATGGGCTAACATCTTGGCCCAACGCTTGGAGAAAGAGCCAGGTTTTCAAAGCCTTGTGGAAGGTTAGCAGTGTCAAGATCTTTTTTGGGGGGTGGGGGGTGGAATGCTGTTCCATTGGGGAATCACTGCCAATAGAGAAGGCCCCTTCTCTAGATCCCTTAAAATGGCACTGTTTCATAGAGGAGATCAGAAGCACGTCAGACCATTTCCTAGTAATTCTTAGCATGGAATTTGCCAGCTGCTACAATCAGGATTTTTCTGCAGTGCACTGGATATCCCTTAAGAATTAAGAAATCTCTTTCTGATGTTCAACCCTGTGCTCTACTTTGGCTATAGTGATGTTCTGTCTGGACAATATAATGGCATTGAAAAATACTTGCTGCCTGTACAAACACTGTGACAGGCCAGTTTTGCAAACCAGTCCTCAGTAGACATCTTCACTGACCTCTGTACAAAATCCATGTAATACTTTCCCTGATGTTAGAAGATAACTCAGACTCTTATCAATAGATATGTGAAAGTAGGGGGCTTTTTTTCCTCCACTGGGCATCTTTTCAAAAATTGCCAAATTGACCATTCCTCCAGTTCAGAGATTCTTCTGGAGCATTTCACAATCATTTTTTTTAACTATTCTTGATACATTTGGCATTGTCCACAAATTTGGCTAGCTCACTGCTTGCTCTCAAAGCAAGATAATTTTAAAACAAATTAAAGATCCTTAACACAGGTCCCTGAGGGACTCCACTTCTTCCTTCCTTCCATTGGGAAAATTGCTCATTTATTTTTACTCTTTGCTTTCTGTTTAACCAATCAGCTATTTATAAAAGGCTGACAATTTTGTTCCCTGATTGCTCAGTTTGCTTAAGAGCTTTGCACAAGACACCTTATCAACAGATTTTCAAAAAAACAAAAACAAGTATATAATGTCACTTCTGTCCATGTGCTTTTGACACTCTATCGTACAGACTTGAGGAAGCTTGAATAAAAATAATAAATCTCAGAAAAAAATATGCATCCGGAAAACAGCAGCACAATAGACACCTCAAAATCCCAAAGAAACTGGGGCTATCTTAAGCTGACAACCAAAAGCTGATGTTATTTGCATGTTTTTGTTTTTAAAAACAGAGAAAGGAAAAATGCATTTAATGTTTAATTTTGCACTGGATGTTTTTCATCTCTTGCTTTACAATAATTTTGTTCAGACAAATACAATGTAATTCAGTTTGCTTTTTATTTAGCTGAACACATTTGTAGTTAGTAACAGGCACTGATATTAAATCAAATAAAGGCAAATGTGTGATTATATTGCAGTTATTTCTATCGAGTGTAACTCTCTCATAATATTGTAATTATTAAAAAAAAAGTTTAACTGTCAAAAAAAAAATCCTCCTTGGAAATCAACTCTGATCAACATCCAAAGACACATTAAAGACTACATGAGATACTCCATGTGGAATTGCTTACTAACATAGATATAGTCTCTTAAAAAAAACTTTTTGAAACTAAATTGCAGCTTTAAATATATTGGGGTGGGGAAACCCACAAATTTCTAGTGCAATTTATGCAAAAGGTAAGTATATCAATGTTAAAAGGGAAATATTATTGTATGCTGGATATGTATACACGTATCAATATAAGATTGTCAGGCACTTATATATTGCTGGGTTACACTTATGATTAAGAGGAATGAAGAATTCAGATAGAATGAATACACACTGTAGGAATGCACTTTCACTTCTGAATAGTTTGGTCACAATGCCTAACATATGCAGAAATTCCAGCTTCTACATTGCTGTGAAATCTACTATATATATCGCAGAATGCCAAAAGTGGTAGATGCAATGTCCCCATCCCATCCGGTGGGAAATTTTCACGTACAAAACCCTCCTGAAATGAAACAGAACTGCTTACAGGCAGCGTTGATACAGAGTCTTACACAGAAGAAATCCATTCAGAATTGCATTCATTGCTTTTTATCACTCAAATCATATTTTTAAAATCCTCAAACAAAAATTCCAACATAGCATCAAATCATCTGATATCACCAGCTAAAAATGTAATAATTTGTCCCACTTTTAGAACTGTTCTCATAAGCCTATCCAAGCATATATTCTACACATTATATGAACATTCAAACTACACAGAAATGACCAGTTAATGTTAATAATCTCTCATGGAACTGGTGAATGTTAAAAATAAAAGAGACTATTAAAATTAAAGCTGATGGGCACTTTCAATATTCAGTAGGATTATTTCATTGTGTTGGACATTTCCTAGGTGATGTGAGATATATATATATATTCAATGATGCAATCTTTGATCTCCGGGAAGAGTATACTCCGGTTATTTATTGTTAAAACAACATTTAAAACAATAAAAACAGTTATATACAAGATTAAAACAACTTAGCTTTCGCTGGTCCTCTGCCAGCGTCCTCAGAGTGGGGCTTAGGGGGTGGGAAAGTTCTTTTTATCCCCTTGCTGATCCAACTGCCTACTCATTGCCCTCGTGACAGGGCCACTTTATTGTTTTAAATGTTGTTTTAACAATAAATAACTGGAGTATACTCTTCCCGGAGATCGAAGATTGCATCATTGAACAAATATGCCCGGGATTCGTATTTTTACAACCATTAAGGACATGTATGTATGTATGTTTATATATGTTTGTGTGTGTGTGTGTGTGTGTGTGTGTGTGTATTCCACATTTGGGCATTGGTTTGTGTGGCTATGCACACTTAAACACCCATAGCAAACAAGGAAGTTAAGGTTCATATTGCTGACGGGAACTGTGATCTTTTTTTGTAATATACGTTGACAAATAATCCATGGATACACTTTTCAAAACAATCTTCTCTGTAACATTGTGAAGACACAGAATAAAAATATATCTTCCCTGGATAATATATTTGGGTTACTTAAATACGTATCTTACCATCCGAGCCCCTCTCTTACTTTATTATATATTCTTTGAACTTTCATTTGATCATCTTGCAATATGCCACTCTTAAATACAGTAGTTTGATGCATAGATCACTATTTGATAATCTATTTCTATGATCTACTTAGATTACAATATATATCCCTATACTGTATCTCCCTTTGGCCATTTAAAACAATTGTTTTTATTAAGCAGATAATCTTTTTCTTTATTCTTTTAAATGCAATCTTTCTTAAAATAAATCTAACATAAAACATATATATATATATCTATATACATTAATGATCAATTTAAGGCTGCATGGAACAGAAGCAAGCAAGCTATCCTAGAGCACCTACATAGACATTCCATTGTAAGTTTGCTTGATCTGCTACCCCACCTGTCACCTATGTTACCTTCCATAATAGTTATGAGGCAACATAGCACCTCACAAGAACAGTCTGGCCTTTTAGCAGATGACATGTCTGCCTCAGGAAGTAAATCTGGGCTCTCCTGAAAGGGAAGCAACTTGCCAAGAGTGTGGAGAACTACATGAGGGATTCTTTTGCCTATGTATCAGAATATCTTTGCTGACTTTAGATATGGTGCAACCTGGGGTATGGGGTGCATGTGTGGAAGGAGGAATGCTCCTTGCTACTTTGCCCACACGGCATGCCAGTCTTGGCACATGTGCAAAATAGTACGTGCAACTTTCTCGATTAGGAAAGAGTAATATCCTCTCCTCATTTTGAACATTATGTTGGAATTAAATAAGGAAGGAAGAGATCCTATTTGCCTTTGTGTGTTCCTCAATATATTTTGCCCTATATCCCTATGTTGGGGAGAATGTAGAAGATATTCTCCCATCACTGACTATTTTGACTGGGTCTAATAAGAGTTGCAGACCATCAGTTTCTGTGGTGCACAAACACTCCTAACCACATTGTTTTCAATTTAGACACTAAGACAAGATATGCATCTTACTGATCTCATAGTTTTATGTCTAGCCATGTATTTCATTGCTCCACCAACAGTGGGAAAAAAAATGCTGGGAAGATACACATGGAAAAAAAAATCTAAAATAGATCTTAACATATATTACCTTTGATATTACTTCATTACTACGCTACGCCTGCAATCCTACATATGCTCATCTGAAAGTAAGTCCTAACAGACACGTGGGATTCAGAACATAGGCTATAAGACTGCACTGTCCTCAACTTACGACCACACTTGAGCCCAAAATTTCTGTTGCTAGGTGAGACAGTTGTTAAATTAATGTTGTCCCATTTTATGACCTTTCTTGCAACAGTTGTTAAATGAATCACTGCAGTAACCCAGGTGTTAAGTGAATCTGGTTTCTCCATTGATTTTGCTTGTCAGAAGGTCGCAAAAAGTGATCGCGTGGCCCTGGGATGCTGCAACCGTCATGAGTCAGTTGCCAAGCCTCTGAATTTTGATCACATGACCATGGGGATGCTGCAACGGTTGTAAGTGAGAAACACGGTCATAAGTCATTTTTTCCAATGCTGCTGTAACTCTGAATGGTCACGAAGTGAACTGTCGTACCTCAAGGACTACCTGTAGTTCCAGAAGAACTTGATTTCCTTTTATTTGAAAGGACAAAACAAAACTAATGCTCATCTTGCATGGAACTGAGGTGGATAAAGGAATATTCTCAAGGTCAATAAAAGACAAAAATAGGCTGATGCAGACACAATTAGGCAGAAAACTCAACTGCCTAATTGTTCTGTATCAACAGTTATTAATTAACTGAGGCACTGAACAGCACTAAGGAAGCAAAAATCCCACTTCCTTATTTTTGTTGAGGTACAGCCTTCTCTCAGTAATCTTGTTTCTCAAGTCAATTGTATATGCTAAAAAATATCTTCTCCAGTGCACCTGCACATAACGTGTGTTAAGTACACTGTCAAAAGCTATACTTTTTTAGTAATTCACTCCTGCATTTTCAGTATTGGCCCTTGTCACATGACGTTCCCTCTGACATCATACTGGGATAGTCGCAGCACATCAAGAAGGAAAATTACAAGCTTTGAGGATTCCACAGCTTAGGAAAACATGTTAAATTGCCTTACTATTATGGCATAGGTGGGAAAGAGTTTAGCTTATAATTGGATTGTAGCTTAAAAAGCAGTTAGTAGGAGAAAGCTAACAGGCAAAGAGGATACTGAAATGGATTTTACAGTTCCCTTCAAAAGAGACAAAGAGCCAAGCAGAATGCAGGAAACTGTCTTTTCAATGCAGGCTCACAGTCTGGATTAAAGAAAACATGGGATCCGTGTTTCAAAAAATGAGTTCATACATGCATCATTTAATAGCCATGCTTTCTCCACTGAAAGCTGATGCTTCTAAATTGTGGATGGGGATAAGGGTCATGGATCTAGGCAAATCTGGATAAAGTGGACAAGGAAAAGCTATTTTCCTCTTCCCAAAATACTAGAATCAAATTGAATGTATTGGAAGAATCAGGACTGACCAAAGGATTCTTTTCTTTCTTTCTTTCTTTTTCTTTCTTTCTTTCTTTCTTTCTTTCTTTCTTTCTTTCTTTCTTTCTTTCTTTCTTTCTTTCTTTCTTTCTTTCTTTTTTCTTTCTCCTTCCTTCCTTCCTTCCTTCCTTCCTTCCTTCCTTCCTTCCTTCCTTCCTTCCTTCCTTCCTTCTTTACACAGCCTGTAATTACATTTTGGAATTTAGTACTATGAGATGTGGTGCTGGCTACCAGCTTGGATGGCTTCACAAGAAGAAGAAAAAAAAAAGGCTGGATCAATTCATGGAAGTCTTGGGGATCTATGAACTGACGACAGTGTGACTTTCCTGAATCAGCTGGGAGACAAACGAGCTTCCTTATGTAGTTGGTTCGCCAAATAACATTCTGCTGGACTAGACAGGGCAAGGGGTCTGATCTAACAAGACACTGCTTATATTCTTAACTACAATTTAAAAGCGACTGTTGTAGGTAATGCCTTTTATTAAATGGCCTAATTGTCTTGAACACTTCTTTTAAACACATTCTAGGTAAAATAAGGAAACATTAGAAAGTAGGAAGAGGGTTGAAGACATCTGCTTTTGTATTAATTGGAAAACAGCCCTACTTTTGACTGTGGGAGTCAATTCTAATTGAATGAACAAAACAGTTTTATAAGGAAATATACACTTGAAAACCAACAATTTCACTGAGAGGCACTATTAGACCCACATTCATAGTATACCAGACATATTCTGGTGACCGATATAGCTAAAAACATCATATGTAGAAAGGGCACAGGCAATTTACGCTGTTTGGTCTACGCGGAGGACAGCTGCTTGATTGGATTCTTCAGAATATTCCATTTCTCCACTGGTTGGCTTGTTTCTTTCTTCATAAAGGTCTTGTCTGATTTCTAATGAAGCTCTATAGTCATCATCTTCTTCAACAATTGCAAGCTCAATGTTGTTGTTGATCACCACCTCTCCTTCACTTCCTGACTCTTTTTCCAAAGAATCAGCAAAGGCTTTTCCTTCTTCAGCTGGAGAAGAAGAAGAGACTGGATCTGAAGTGAGGGTGGTCTCTTCAAAGACTGCATGCTCACTACCAGTAGCTTCCACTGGCTTGTCTTCTACTTCTATGGATGTTTCTCCATCATGGACTTTCTTCACGTTGAATGTCAGGGGAGAGATCTTGAAAGATGAACTTTTGGATGAAGAAGACTTCTGATGGTTAGGGGTAAAAGACTTCTTGATCTTCTCTCTCCGTTCAGGTGAGACAATCTTGGTGCCGATCTTGTTCATCTTCTTTTCAATATTTTGACGGGAAAATGCTTTCTTCAGGCTGTCAACCTTTTTAAGGCTCGATCTCTTGATTTTCTCAGCTCTGGACTCCTCTATTTTCTCATCCATACTGTCTTCTGCAAGGTCATCGTGGGGCACTTCATCCTCTGAGGATAACTCCACGGTGTGCAAAGTTTCTTCCAAGGTTTTGTTCTCATCGACAGGCTCTTCCTTCCCATCAGTAATACTGGGAACCGGGTCTTTCACAAATACGCTGGCAGGGATTTCATTTTCTTCCTGTAAAAAGAGTTGATATGTGTTTATTTAAGCATCACAAGACACAGACTTGATAAACAAGGCACAGCCCTGAATAACATCAATATTTTTCCTTTGAGATAATGAGGTAAAGGAAGTTGTTTTTGTGCCACAGTATATTCAACCAGTAACAATCACTCACTTCCTATGGAACCGTTCTTTTATACTGCGTGAAAGTAATGAGTTTATGAGCTGTCATCTACTATTAGAATAAAATACATTTTAGTCAACATGGTTATTAGAGACTAGTGCAGCTGTAATCGTGCCAATATCTTAACATTGTTAAAAACAGGATGCAAGATCACTCCCAATTTCCCTATCATTCCTTCTCTTCTGGAACAGAAATCCTCTCCTGTTAGCTTGAACTTCAATCAACGATATGTCAATATAAATGTGAAACAGTTACCCCAAAATCCTTGATTAGCACAGAATATGAAATGATGTGGTTGGTGGACATGAATTAAACCCTTGGGAGCATTGCTTCCCCTGGCCAAAATTTATTCTCTCAGTACTGGATTCAACTTATCTTCTGATATGGATTCAGGATTACTTTTCTATCATGGCATTACTCCTAAAAGAAGTAATCCAGAATGATACAAACTGTTCTTGACTTTTGCTTCTTCAACAGATGTAGCATTGACTTACCAAATTGGTAAGAATGTCAGAACTTTGAGCTTCCTATAGTAAGTGTATTTTTGACCTGAGAAGTATAACCTTTACTCTGAGATATGTGGGCTTGTGGCAAGTGAATTTCTTTATGCATTTTTTTCAGATTAACTGGTTTCCCTTCCCATGCCTGCATTGTTCAAAATAGGCTGCAAACAGAACTTTGACCTCGAAACTAATTATAAGAACTTGTGCATCTGATTTTTACAAAGGCAAAATACTGACCTATCAGAACACCAATACTATGCCCGGAACTTATTCCAATTCTGGCTCCTTAGTTATTTTGGACTACAACCTTCTATCTAGCATGGGCTGCATTAACATGTGGTATTGATGGGTAGCAGCCATTAAGGACTGAAATTGCCCCCCAGAATAGTATGGTCTATTCACATCTGGAAGGTACCATTCTCTATATATCCACCCATCATCCACATATCCCTGTTGAACACATGACCAAAAATAATACTGAATACCAATAACATTTTTGAATATGTGCAGATCTCTAGGACAGCAGCCCCAACCTTTTTTTGTATCAGTGAATGGTTTTGGGAGAAAAATATTTTCTACAGACTGGCGGTTGCTGTGTGGGGAGAATGGTTTTGGATACTACCCAGATGCCATGCAGGCACAGATAAAGCTTCGCATAATAATAATAATAATAATAATAATAATAATAATAATAATAATAATAATAATAATAATAATAATAATAATAATAATAAAGTTGGAAAGGAACTTGAAGGTCATCTAGTCCAACCCCCTACTCAGGCAGGAAACCCTAAACCATTTCAGACAAATGGCTGTCCAGTCTCTTCTTAAAAACTTCCAGTGTTGGAGCATTCACAGCTTCTGGAGGCAGGTTGTTCCGCTGGTTAATTGTTCTAACTATCAGGAAGTTTCTCTTTAGTTCTAGATTGCTTCTCTCCTTGATTAGTTTCCATCCATTGCTTCTTATCCTGCCTTCAGGTGCTTTGGAGAATAGCTTGACTCCCTCTTCTTTGTGGCAATTTGCATGGCAAGTTCCTAACAGGCTGCAGACCAGTACCAATTTGTGGCCTGCTCTAGGAGAAACCACAGGGGTAAGTCAATGGTATTTGTCACATTATTATTTTTGTTTTACTTTTAATATTGATGGTGCTTTGTTGTATTTTGCAATATTATATGTGGGCTAATCAATGGCCATAAACAAGTTTTCCTTTACTTATTATTAGAACTTAAAGAGTCCATCCCGAATAATTTAAAGAGGAAGGAAGATAAACACCATATGAATTTGACCTTGAAACATATGTATTCTCTTCTAATTTTTGCCACACTCGATACAATAAAACTAGGCACATAAACTTATTCTTTGTTTCTTGCTTTTTTTTCTTTATAGTATCAAGACGGAAAAAAAGGGTGACTAACACTCTGTTGCTATCAACTCCTTGAAAATTATAAACTAACAAACCCACTGTTAAAAAAATTTGTGGCAGGAAACAATGGAATCAATTTAGGCTTAACAATAAGGGAACCTTGAGATTAGGACATGAACTACCTAGAATGCTCTGTACATATATTGGGAGGGTCATGGATACTCGTGCCAAGATGTGAATATAGGAGGGGCATGTGGAACAATCTAGAACAGACAAAATACAAATTCAGTGCAATTGATGGGAGGATGGTTAAACTGCAAACTTTCATTGATCAGCTTCCTCAAGTTTCCTCAGTATTATTATAGTGTTCTTATACATAAAGAGTTGAGTCCTTTTTAAAGCCAGCATCTTGAATGGTGTTCATTCCAAAGGCTCAATATTTCTATGAGAATATCTTTGGCTTTGGGAATGAATGTTTATGGGGAAAAAGACCCACCTAATAAAGTTGTCTACAGCAAAGGTCCCCAACCTATGGGCCGCCGCTGTACTGCAGGGTGAGAAAACAGGACACTTCCATGTCACGGGGTGCAAAAATGGGCCAATGTCGTGCTGCGGGGTACAAAAATGGGACACTGCCGTGCCGTGCAAAAATGGGACGCCACTGCGCCACGGGGCACAAAACAGGCTGCCACCGTGCCTCAGGGTGCAAAAATGGGACTCCGTCGCACCTCAGGATGCAAAAATGGGCCACTGCTGCACCTTTGGGCATGAAAACGGGCCACCACTGTGCCTCAGGGTGCAAAAACGGGCCGCTGCCACACTTCATGGCATGAAAGTAGGCATGGGGCGCTGTGCCATGCAAGAATGGGGCAGGGTTAGTATCACGCAGGTGCTAGCCCCACCCCCGTTGCATTGCACGCATGCTCGTGGCCCTATGTGCACGTGCATGTAAAATGCTTCCCTCTCCCTTTCCCTCCAGTCTGCCAACCAAGAAAGGTTGGTGACCTCTGGTTTAAAGGACAGTTTAACATCATCTATTTTGCTTTAAATTGAGTATTATAGAAGCAAAGCCCCACCAAGCAACAAAATAATTATTAAACCAGTTCTGCAGTATAAATAAAACACATAAAATGTTGAAAATGAAAGATGGTACAGAATCAACATGTGAGGGAGCCATTTTGAGCCTTGATATGTTTGGGAGGAGTTGTAACAAAATAGAATATAGGAAATAAAAGGTGTGTAATGGCTCTCTTCTTCCACTTAGGCATTCAAGCAGGGCAATCACATTTTTATTAAAATTAAATTAAATTAAATTAAATTAAAATAAAATAACGTATTCAGTATATTGAATCTCCCTGCCACAAGGGAGGTTCAAAAGAGCTGGCCTTTATCAAGAACCAGATATATTAAAACCATGACACCAATTTGGAGAAAATCCTGCTACTTTAAGGAGAAATGAAGCTATAGATCACGGTGTGAAACTGCCGGCCCGCGGGCCGGTTTCATCATACCGGAGCTGCGCCCACCCTATTGCCGGCAATGGCAAAAAAGCTCTGATATGTTGCGTGATGTCATGTAATGTCGCGAGTTTGACATATCTGCTATAGATGGAAAGAGATGACGAATGTGAAGAGGAAATATACTTTCCCCAAAGCACCTGAAGGCAGAAGAAGCAATGGATGGAAGCTAATCAAGGAGAAAACCAACCTAGAATTAAGGAGCAATTTCCTGACAGAACAATCAATCAGTGGAACGACTTGCCTCCAGAAATTGTGGGTTGCTCTGTCACTGGAAGTTTTCAAGAAGAGATTGGACAACCATTTGTCTGAAATAGTATAGGGTTTCCTGCTTGAGTAGGGGGTTGGATTAGAAGACCTCAAAGGTCCCTCCCAACTCTGTTATTCAGCAAAAGATAGCAGAAATAGTAGTAATGCTTCATTATTTTGGCATGGAAAGCAGCTATAATTTCTGCCTGCTAGAAAAGAAAAACATTCTAGAAGACTCTCCACAAAATAAATGGGTTACAAAAGAGCAATTGAAGTTCTCATCTTGCTTGTCTGCTTTTGTGAAAATCTACTTCCGCATGGCATGTTACAGAAGTCATCAATGAACTAACAGCAGGCTTGCACAGCTTTGGAGCCTAGAATTTTCCACGAAGTTCAGGACTATTTTTGAAGTTGCTACCTGCATTATCTACTCATTTCTACACACTTCTGTCATTGTCTTGGCTTCTGTTCATTTCCAACCAGATAATGCTCACCAGATAAAACTCCCCTTCATGTTGTTAGGGAAAGAACAAGGAGAGAGAATCTTTTGACCTAGAACAAGATAGGTATGCCAACTAAAATGTTGCAATTACTTTATTCTGTTCCCTGGGAGAAACTAATCGCAAAATGCAGCAGTTATAATGTTGCATTTGCCTGTTAGATAGTGCCATTCTCTTGCCAAAAAGGTTTCTAGGAAGAAAGGTCACTGCCTCAGCTATCTCGGGGTGAGTATCTTGAATTTATTGCATCTTGTACGTGGTTAAGAAGTTGGGGCTTTTCAGATAAAGCCGGTGAAAATGCCAAGTCGGAATTTCAAATATAAGTGATACACAGTAAAAATTCCGGAACTTCTTTCATGAAGCTCCGTTTTTCCCAAGTAAAGAAATATCTCCTATTGTTCTAGGGAGTTGCTTTTCTCATAATCTGCTTGTTTCTTAAGCAACTTGCTGGGAAATGGAAATGTTTAGTTCTGCCTTCAGAAGTAAGGGTTTATAAAGGAATAGTGGCTTTAGAGCACCCTAAACACAGCCATTCAGACAGCCCCGGCACTATATTTATTTATCTATTTATATCCATGAATTCAGAGCTATATAAACACCTCTCCTGAAGAATCCCTGTTCTTCCCCTGGTCAATAGTTGATTGTAAGGAATTTTGAGGAAATTATTCTAGGAAGCTACCTCAATTACTATAGCTAAA